GAGTGTTTTGAAGCTATAAAGAAATATGACTAAGTATGGGACATATCCTCTTTTTATAAAAGAAAAACGTCCAGCCGCTACAGTAACTTTAGCTACTGGAAATTGAAATTCTGCTCCGACAGGTTTTACGAAAATGGTCATAACTCTCTCATACTAACTCGGAATGAGGTGAAACCAATTGCATTGGAAAGCTAACTTGTAGAGGTTTAATTTAATAGGTAGCGGCCCTTCCAGTTCCTTGTGTGCTAAGAGACATGCCCATTTAAAGTTGACCCTGAAAATCGCATTTTTTGCGATTTTCGAATTTTGATACGGTTGCTCTAAAATTTGGGTTAGACCCATTTCCCACTCAATTTGACCCCTGAATAATAATATGAAGTCGAATTTCCGAAATCATGCACGGATTTTGAGATATATGGAAATTACAATTATAGGTGTTTCCGAAGCACATTTTCGGGCATTTTTAGGGTCGTTTCAGCACGGGGGAAGGGTTTTTACACTTTAAGTAACGCTATTGATTAGGAATTATTTTTATTTTTTCAGAGTCGCCACTTGGAATTGAGTTGTGGTGTTCCAAGTCACTTTTTTGCTTAATCCCTAATCAAAAAGGAAATGACTCTGTATATGGTCTGCGAACTAGAAATTTGGGTAAGGAATTATGTTGACCGAGGGGAAGGTATTAGGCATCCTTCGAGTTCGGTGGTTCTAGCACGGTCGCTTTTATTGACTTATATTTATCTTAATATTTTTTTGGATAATTTGTGTCTACAGGTCATGGTTTGCTTATTTATTTATTTTTGTTTTTATTGTTGAATTTTTATTAAACTGAAACCAGATGCATAACTGCATTCTCGATTTTTGACATACAGTAACTTAGAAGCATAATTGCTTTATTCTCTCGAGTACGTCACCTAATATTCTATGTCTTATGTTAAATTAATGAAAGTTAATTATATATTTTTGGACAAGGTGCGTCACCGAATCCTTGAGTTTTGTTTTAATGTCTCAAGAAAGATGTGTAACCACATTCTTAATTGAAATCGACTTTTGAAGCGGGTCATATATTTTAATATTTTACTTATTACTAGAAAGTTTAAGCGTATTATTAGTGATTAAACTACCTCTACTATTTTTATTTATAAACACTATTTACATAATAAAAGCCTAAAATCTTAAACAAATATAAAGTTATTTCATATTAAAATTTGACACAGATGCATTTATATTTTTAGTATATTTACAAGTCATAGAACAAAAAACAATTAAAAATAAAAAATAAAAATTGTGTAACTTCTTCTATTTCTTAATTTTTCTAGGATGAACATTTTTAATTTTAGATGAAGTTGGCTAAACAAAGTATTAGAATAATTTTTTTCAGGTATTTGGTAAATTTTGGTTGGATGCAAGATATACTTAATTAATAATAGCATATGGTACAAGATTAAAAACAATGAGACTAAACACACATAAAATTCGAGCAACTTCATAACATTGAAATCAAGTATTATATAATCATGAAAAATCAAATTATACAATAAAAATTAAATGGTACCTCTTGCGTAAATTCAATTCATGAAAAGGAAACAATCCTAATAAGGAACCACAAACTCAAAACCGCGAAAGTGAACCTCGACCTCAACTTTTGTTTGTGAGAAAAAGAAAAAATATAAATAAAATGTGAGTTGCTTTTTTTTTTTTTCCTTTGGTCCGTAAGTATGTTTGCTGATTTTTCCTCTTCTTTTTCTTTTCTTTTCTCGTGTGAGTGTTATGTATTGTGTGGGTTGGTAAGTATGTTTGCTGATTTTTCCTCTCTTTTTTTGTGTGTACGTCTGTGTGTATTTTGGTAATTACTGATCCTTTTTTTTTTGTCTTTGTGTATTGTTGTGTTAATATAGGTAGTGTGTGTTGTGTTGTAGTAGTGTGTGGGAGTGGTGAGTGGAGTGGGGTATGTTGGGGTAGTGGAGGAGTAAGTGGGGTGAAGTTAGGTGTATGTGGGTTGTAGTAGTGGGGTAGTGTAGGGTTTTTTTTTTTGAACTAATAAAATATAAGAAAAGTCAAATAGCTAATTTAAAAATGTAATTAAGAAATACTAGCTTGCTTATTTATCACGATCCGATTCCTCGAGCCGTAATGGCACTTATTATATCCCACGAGTAGGTAAGCCAACCTGAAACCCATAACAACTAGTAGTGGGTAAAAGGGCAAAAACCAAGTGGCAGAAAAACTGCTAAAAAACTACGGAAGTAAAAGCGACGGACGGCGTCTCTCCAAAAAGTGACGCCATTAGCCACACTGTCAGTCGTTTTTTAATTAAAATAATAATTTTATTTTTTTTTTGAAAGCGGCGGACGGCATCGCTTAGTTCGTCGCTTTTTTTCACGGATTTTTGCGCCAAATATATATATAATGAATAATTAATTATTTTATATAGATAGCAACGCAGTTCGTCGCTTTTTATTAAAAATAATTATTTATTAATTTAAAAAAAGCCACGCCGTCCATCGCTTTTTATTAATTTAAATTATTTAATTATTTTTTAAATTAGCTACGGACAACATCTTTATGTCCGTCACTTTTTTAAAAATATTTGCACTAGCAGACACAATTTTCTCCATTTCTCCATTTCTCTTCCACTACTAAAAAAAACAGTGAATACCGACCTATAAATTACTGACCTCAAATGGAGGTTGGTAATTTCCGACCTCCGAAGGTCGATATTGTTAAAAAGAATAAAAAATTTAAAAAACTTTAGAAAACCGACTTATGCAAAATAAAGCGGGAAAACCAAATTCCGACCTCTTGATGTCGGTATTAAAAATAAATAAATAACAATATTTTATTTTTCTCAATTAAATATAAAAAACAAAATTGAGAAATATTTTGATTTAATTTTATGTAAATCGTCTTCCGGAGGACGGTTTTGTGTAAAATAAAAAACAAACAAAATTAGAATACCGACTTCCGGATGTCGGTAAAATTAAATAGTATGTAATAAATTAATATTTTCAATTAACTTTAAATAAATCGTCCTCCGAATGACTGTTTTCTATAAGTTAAAAAATAATTTAAGATAAAATACCGACCTCCCGATGTCAATATTATTTAATTAACATGATTACTTTTTATTTATCTTAAAATTTAATGTGATACCGATCTCATGAGGTCGGTATTTTTTATTAAATCTAATTAATTTTAATAAAAGCGACATCCGGAGGTCGTTTTGTTTAAAATATTCCTATTAATCATAATTTTGCTATTGTGCATAATACTAAAATTTCATTTTACACCTACAATTAATTGTTCAAAAAGTGTAACAATTTTGTATACTTTTATAAATATAAAGTTAGAATTCGTGAAATAAATAAAAAAATATCTATAATCCATATTTAGTATTAAACTACATTAATATGAATTAGGAGATAATTATACTTATATTTCTAGAGTAATGTACAAATTATATCAGTCCGTCGTCTAATCATGAACTTAATATCTCATGTCATGATGTAGAGGTGAAGAGCTAACATATAATCCATTCGAGTATGAAATGCGAGATAGTATTTCTACTATATAGAAGCATGAAGTCAGGACGACCATAGCATAAATTTATTGTACATCGCGCTATAGAAGTTGGACAAGGTTCTACTTTAGTTATTTAAAACAAAAGTAAGGGTGTTTTCGTCTTTTTCTTCAATTCTTTTCCTCTACTACGCTTCTGGATCATTCTTCCATTTTCTTGCTATGTCTCTCCATAATTTCTCATTCCTCATCTTTATTGTTAACCCTAAGAGGGCAACTGGGTAAAGGTAAAATCAAACAAATATATGAATCTCTTACTCCTCTTCGGAATTTCAATAAGAAGAAGATTCACTAAAGTTTTGGATTTAGAATTTTTTTTAAATTCTCTTAATTTTTCATCTCATATTCATCGATTTAGAGTTTAGCTCTTCCGTGTGTAAGGTGAGTTCTTAATTCAGAGGCGTATCCAGGATTTTGAGATAATGGGTGCGCGGTTATAAAAATGTTGATCTATGATATAAATTTGATCGATTCGACATTTAGATTTTTATTATTGAAAACCGTTAAATTTTTAAAATTATAGGTCTAAAATTAATTCTTATATAAAAATTAATATTATAGGTCCAAAACTAATTAAAATGTCAAAAGTGTTACCAATAACCATTTAGAGAGGTGTTATCTAATTTTAGAAAGAAAAATAAAATAAGATAAATATAAATTTCAAATTTCTAACCTCGCGGAGAGAGGTGTACCCAGTCATAATCGCATTATGTGATACTTCAAGTGTAGATTCACACATCAACAGGAGGATCTCATTCCACCTTATCCTTCGCTGAATCTTTCCTTTGTCCTTCCCCTGAACATATTTCAATATTTTTTCAAAAATATAACACTACAATATATGATCTCGGGAGAGGACCATGGGTTCACGTGAACCCGGTGACCCTCCTTAGATACGCCTTTGGTTCTTATTTTACTTAATCACTTAAATTTCCCCTTCTTAATATGTCTGCGATATTTTTCATATGCTTGCATTCACTGAAAAATAGTGTTTGTTGTCACTCATGAATTTTTCATAAATGCCTTTTTCTTTTCTATCACATATCTTAATTTTCAGATTCTTCACTCGCTGCATGAATGTTTGTGTTAATTAAGGTAGATGAATACATTACAACTCTCAATGGTTGGTTGTTCATGTAAGTTTCTTCACACTTACATTCTCTTTGAGGCATGAATATGAGGTACAATCAGATGGTCTTGCAGAGTACAAGCCTTGGCAACATATATTATGGTGATTAGTAACTTCAAAAGAACTTTCTGATGGTTTTATTTGATATTTTTGTATGTTTTGGATTATTCGGTTTTAACACAAAAACCATACAAGAAGTACAATTTTGAGTCGTCTTTCAAGATGAGAAATCTTGATGAACCTAAAAGTTGTCTCATGTAAAAACTGATTGTGATCATGAATGGATTATGGACACGCAGTCTGGAAGATACTATTGTTACTTTGTTGAGTGAAAGATGGCAGATTTCCACCAAAGATTGGTTCCTTGCCTCCATTTTTATTATATGATTTACTTGAGCCATAGTCTATCAGAAACAATCTCTCTACCTTCCCAAGGTAAGGTTAAGTATGCATACACACCATCCTCCCTAGACCCACTTCTACTTCTGGGATTGCATTGGTATGTCATTGTTGTTGTTTGCCTCCTTTGTTTGATTCAGGGTTGGGGGAAGGCTAGCTAAACTATATACTTCTAATTTTACTATGTTACTATCAATACATATGGTTATACCTTTTTAATTTTTTGTTTAACGTGTTAACTGTATATGATTTGGTTACTTTGATGGAGTCAGTGGCGGAGCCAGGATTTTCAATAAGGGAGTTCAAAATCTGTAGAATAGACACACAAAGTAGTCGAAAGGGGTTCAACATCTACTATATATATACATAAAAAATCATTTTAACCATGTATAAATAATATAATTTTTCACCGAAGGGGTTCAGATCCCCCTTGTACTAAGGTGGCTCCACCCCTGGATGGAGTTACTTACCCTCATTGCCCCCTACATTTGCAAAGAGGAGAATGATCTTAATGTTGGTTTTGGATGAATCTTTACACATAAAAATTGATTGGTTAGAGAAGAAAATGGAGAATTATTCGCAAGCTCTCTCAATTTTTCAATTCTGGTATAATCCAAGAGGGGACGTGATATATGTATGGTACATGGATGACAGCGATGAGGACCAGAGGCTTCCTCAGCACCATGATCCAAAGAAATTTGTGTCTCTTGACAAGTTTACTGGTAAAGATCAGGCTAAGAATTATATCTGTATAAATTATCTATGAGGAACAAAAAATCCCCCTTTAAAACACCCATTCAAAAAAAAATCGCTAGGTGTCAGGGCAGTTTATCTCTTCCATGTTCCCTCCAATACCTTTCGATAATTTTTTGAGTCCTCTGAGCAAGGATCTCACATTTGTAAATTCTGGCTAAGTGGATAATTACTTTTCAATTAATACTGCTAATCTAATTTGTTGCCAACTCTCTTGGTATTTTAGGGTTAGAAATTGAACAGGTGGATATATTTTTTATGTTGTCATTGATAGATGAAAATCCTACATTGATAAGGATGTATTATCATTGGTCCAAATTGAACAAGATGTAAAATAATGAACCAACCCTAAGAGTGGTTACAAGTTGATTGCTGGTTTTGTCCTGCCTTTGTACTCCCTTCTTAATTACTATATGAAAAATTTCGGAACTTGGAATGCTCTGCTAGAGACTTGATGACTACATTTTATGAGACTATTAAGGAGTTGAATAAAATTTGGAAAGATCACGAATATTCATACATTGTATGTTAAAGTTACAATCTGAAACCTTTCCTCAGTATATGGATACAAGTCAGTCCCTTTTTTTATGAGTACTAAAGCTTTAAGGATTCATAATTTGCTTCAAGATTTCTTTGAGGTTTACCCTGAGAAACTACCAAATTACGAGGAGAAGATCAAGAGCTTTTTTGAAGAACACTTCCATACCAATTAGGAGATCTGTTACTGTGTTGCAGGAACTGGTTTGATGTTGTTTATTGATTGGATTTTTCTATTCTGCCTTCCAACTATTGTTGCTAAATATATACTTCTGGGTGTAATGTGAATGAGAGCTGGATTTGCATCTGGGTAAAGAAAGGTGGAATGATTGTGCCTCCCTACTGGAATATATTACCGCTTCACGCTTGATTCATATTGCTCGTAAGAAGTTAGGTTTAAATAACCTTGAGTCTACTTTTTTTGTCGAAGCATTCGTAGAATACATCAGCTTTGGCTTATATGTAGTGTATGTATATTATTTACACTCTCATGTATGTGAATAAGTGAATGCGCACTTCGCATACTCATATGGATATATTAAAAGTACATCTGGTAGCAACACTACATTTCAAAGCGTGATATTTTGTACGTAATATAGGTATATAATATGCAACAATTAGTATGCGTTGCTTTTGTTATCTGATTTGGCGATCACTTACATACATCAATTTCTCCACTAATATTAGCAATTTTTCAATATAAATTTCATTTGAGTGACATATTTTAATGTTTGTGTGTTGCGATTTGATACATTTACAGTGCTCTGCTCTTAAAGTTCGCTAAGCAGGGGAAGCATAATTATGATTAAAATTTATTTTTGCCTTAACCTTGTAAGACAATGAAAGTTGATAAAGTTTCGGTTACTGACCTAAACAATGCGACAAATGGTGCACACTAGGGGTGTCAAAAAATGAATCCAAACATAGGTAATCCGCCCAATCCGCTCAGAATTTCAAGGGTTGGGCTCAAGATAATTTTGATTTGGTTCAATCTTAACCCATTTTAAGAGAATCCTCAATCGAACCCAATTCAATCTCCAATTTCAATCCAGCTGTCACTAAGGATAAGCAGTTAGCTGAAGTTAGTTAGTTAATTCACTAATATTCCAGTTGTATTAGTATGTTAGTTAACTAACTACAGATTAGTTTTACACTCTACCATAGTTAACTAACTATAGATTAGTTCTACATCCTACTATAGTTAGGATATATATAGATGCCTTGTATCAGATATTAATTCAATCTAAGCTTTACTCAATAAAACAGTTGCTTTCTTCTCTGCTTAGACCGTAAGTCTCCATTAGCATTTCCTTTTCGTCTCAAGGAAAGTTACTTGCATGGAATTTTACATGGTATCAAAGCAACATAGTTAGTAAGATCTAGGGGTTTCTTGCAAGGATTGAACAAGAAATCGAGAGATTCTTCTTTCCAGATCTATAATGGCTGTACGTTTTGATCACAATCATCCTCTGTTTTTGGGAGCTTCAGACACGCCTGGAGCTGTGCAAGTGGGAATTGAGCTCACCGGCATGGATAATTACACACTTTGGAGCAGAGCGATGAAGCTCGCCCTCTTGACAAAGAACAAAATCGGATTTGTTGATGGATCAATTACTCGTGAGAAGTTTGGTGTTGATTTGGTGAATCAATGGGACAGAAGTAATATGATGGTGATCTCATGGATTATGAGCAATATAAGTAAAGGCCTTCTCTCTGGAATTTTATTTCGGTCTACTGCTAGTTCTGTTTGGGAGGATCTTAGAGAGCGATTTAATAAAATCAATTTATCGCAAGCCTATCACTTACACAAGGAGATTGCAACACTAGTGCAGGGTACTTTGCCTGTTTCTGTCTACTATTCTAGGTTAAAGGATCTTTGGGATGAATATGACTCGATTGTACCTCCGCCTTCGTGTGACTGTGCGAAATCGAAAGAGTATAGTGAAAATCTTCAAAAACAGAGGCTATTAGAATTTCTCATGGGCTTGAACGATGGATATAGCAATGCTCGTGGTCAAATATTGATGAAAACAACACCTCCTAGTGTGAATCAAGCTTATTCCCTTATTGTACAAGATGAAAATCAAAAATCATCATCAGTGGGGCATTTTTCATCTGGTGAGAGTATGGATCCCACAGCCTTATTCACAGCACGAGGTGCACCGACTAGAAATTTTGGTGACTTGTATTGTGACTACTGTCATATGCGAGGACATACTAGGGAGCAATGTTTCAAATTGAAGTTTTGTGATCATTGCAAATCCAGAGGTCATCTCAGAGAGACTTGCTACCAACTGATTGGATACCCAGCAGATTTCAAAGGCAAAAAGAAGGCTAATGTGGTAACAAGGAATGGACATTCAGGAGAACCTCCTCAAAGTCAGCTTTCTTCTGGACATGGCAAGCAGTCTGAACAAAGCCAACTGATCCAAGGTAATAATATTCCTAAAAAAAATTCCCTCGATCAGTGTGCTCAAATTGAGCAACTTTTTCGTAAGTCAAGCTTTGGAGAAGCAAGTGCAAGCATGGCCAGGACCAATGTGAACATTGCAGGTAATGTAACATATAATGGTCAGGATAATTACACTTGGATTATCGATACGGAGGCCACTAACCACATGGTTGATAATGATAAGATGTTGTTAAATGGTGCACAAGTAGGTAACACAGGGTCGGTACAGTTGCCAACTGGAGAGACAACGTAAGGTGTCTTCAATTGGAACCTGTCAGCTAGATGGAGGTGAACAGATTACGAATGTGCTTTGTGTGCCGGTGTTTAAATTCAATCTCTTATCTGTTTCAAAGATAACAAGAGATTTGAATTGTTGTGTCTTTTTTTTCCCCGGATACTGTGTTTTTCAGGACCTGCTCACTGGGAATGTGAGGGAGATTGGTAAAGAGGACAATGGACTGTACATTTTACAAGGAAGGAAAGGACAACATGATACAATTCTCAGGAAGGCTTTGGCAGTACAAAGATCAGTAGATGCAGTGACTTGGCATAGAAGATTAGGGCACGTCCCAATGAGAGTTCTTAGGAGATTTACTTGCTTTAAGAATAATTCGACATTTCATTTTGATACGTGTGATGTATGTCCACTTGCTAGGCAAACGAGGATGCCTTTTCCTGTTAGTACTAGTAAATCAAATACTTTGTTTCAATTGGTGCATATGGATGTTTGGGGTCCTTATAGAACTGAAACATATGATGGCATGCGGTTCTTTCTTACCATTGTAGATGATTACTCTAAATGGACTTGGGTTTTCCTTATGAGGTTGAAATCTGATGTGATTTTCCTACTTAAAAACTTTGTTACTATGGTGTCTACTCAATTTGATTGCAAAATTAGAGTCATTAGATCTGACAATGGATCAGAATTTGTCAACAAAACTTGCAGTGATCTGTTTAGTTCTTTTGGAATTCTTCATCAGTGCTCATGCCCTTACACTCCACAACAAAATGGCGTTGTGGAGCGAAGACATAGGCATATTATGGAAACTGCCAGGGCTATTAAATTCCAAAGTCACTTACCGGCAAAGTTTTGGGGCATATGTGTTGAAGCAGCAGTGTATGTGATTAATCGAATTCCTTATATTTTGTTAGATAGCAAGTCTCCTTTTGAGTTATTGTATAAGCATGAACCAAACATATCTCATCTCAGAGTTGTTGGTTGTGAATGTTATGCTACTAATTTGATTAACCAGGATAAACTTAGTGCCAGGTCCATCAGATCTGTATTCTTGGCTATAGATCCCCATCAGAAAGGATATAAGCTTCTTGATTTGATTACTCACAAAATATTTGTGAGTCGAGATGTCATGTTCAATGAACACATTTTCCCTTTCCGGTTATTAAATATACCACAAGATTTGCAACCTCATTGTTTTACACCAATGGACCAACATGCCGATGTAGATGTTTCCATGGATCAGGACACCTCTATTTCTCAGACTACTGTGATCGTTGCTGAGCCTTCTTCTACTCATGACCAGTTAGAGGATGTTGCTGCATCATCTAATTCTGATGCTACTGGTCCCTTCCATCACAAACTCGGAAGTCAGGTAGATCAGTAAGACCACCTATTTGGTTCAAGGATTACGCTCCAACCATAGGTGGAAGAGCTCATCACTGTCAATATCCTATCTTTGATGTTATTGCTTATGATGCATTGTCATCTTCTTATCAGAGTTTTATATCTAAGTTCTCTCTTGAAACTGAACCTAACACCTATGCCGAGGCTGCTGCAGATTATAGGTGGGTGGCTGCAATGAAAGACGAGATCACCGCCTTAAATAATAATCATACTTGGGAAATTGTTGACTTACCTAAAGGGAAGAAAGTCATTGGTTGTCGATGGGTTTACAAAATTAAGTACAAGGCAGATGGATCCATTGACAAATTTAAGGCGCGTTTAGTTGCTAAGGGTTACAATCAAAGGGAAGGATTAGATTTTCAAGAAACATTTTCCCTTGTGGTGAAAATGGTCACTGTTCGTACAGTGATTTCCATGGCTGCAACTAAAGGGTGGGAAATACACCAAATGGATGTCAACAATGCTTTTTTACATGGTGATTTACATGATGAAGTATACATGACAGTGCCACAGGGGCTTCATTGACACAGGGAACAAGCAGAAGGCATGTCGATTGCTTAAATCTCTTTATGGTCTTAAACAAGCTTCTCGTCAATGGAACATAAAGTTCACATCAGTTTTAATCAGTGCTGGTTTCACTCAGAGTCACCATGACTACTCTCTTTTTATTAAGAAAGTAGTAGGGAAGATTGTTATTGTCTTGGTCTATGTCGATGACTTGCTGATTACAGGAAATGATTTTCAATTAATTGCAGAGACAAAACTGGTATTGCAGACCAACTTTAAGATTAAAGATATTGGTAATCTGCGATTTTTTCTTGCTATAGAGTTTGCTAGAAATTCAACAGGCATAGTTCTGCATCAGAGAAAGTATGTGTTAGAACTCATTTCTGACCTAGGTTTGTCAGGCACTAAACCAGTTCACTCTCCTATGGAGTTAAATGTCAAGTTCACCACTGTTGCATTCGATAAAAACATTGGAATCACCACTTCAGATCCACCCTTGCAGGATCCTAGCGGCTACCAAAGACTTATTGGTGGACTTAGTTACTTGGCAGTTACTAGGCCTGACATTTGTTTCT